TAGTTATATTCTCATGTCCAATATACTGGGGTTATGGGAATGAATCATACAGCTAGTGTACTTGGAACAATGCTTTAAACAAACAAAAAGGTACCAAACCCATGGTTGGTGAATGGTGTCAACTTGGTTCTAAGTGGTGAGAATGTTTGCTTTCTGACCATGAGACCCTAGTTTGGATCTCACCATGGTCAATTGGTCAGGCAGGTGATTTTTTGATGTTATTGGTATGGAGGAGGTGATCCCAGCATGCAGCACCTTTTGGAATGTGCCTGAAAACTATACAATGGGTTGACCCAAGCCTTGTTAGGGAAATTGGGTAGATGGAACCCTTGGGTGCCATCAATGGCTGTGCTAGCACAAAGTCATTGTGAATGAGGGTTTTTGTGTGCTGGCCTTATTCAGATTGTTGATCATGCCACAAACTGTAACTAAGGTCTGTTCAGCATAGTTACAGTATAAACCACAGGTGGGCTCTGTGAGTGTTGAACAAACACAAAATGCACCTGAGCAATTGTCTGCTATAAGGATTAGCTAGCCTCCCTAGTAGATGGGTGTCCTTAAGTATGAGTGGCCATCCATTAACTAAAATGATGATACTAAATGGGTTTCACCTAAGTAACTGGATACCAATTTCCTGGTACCCATTTATTTGGTAAGTTCTTGAATCTGATGTGTTGCTTCAAGAATGCCTTGTGTGATGCTGAAGTGGTGGGTCTTTCTCTGTACCTTTTTTGCCTTTTCATAGAGAGGTCACTTCTTTCATGCAAGTAATTTTTTATGTGTTTTGTAAGAGCTACTGAAAATTTGGTGCTTGCATTCCAAAAAGATCAATTTCAGATGTAATTTTCATCTTCAAACAGTATTTAAAAATCATGTAAAATTTTGGTATCTTAGTACACATGTACCAAAACTTTCAGAATTTTAAGATACTACCAGGATGCTATACATCATAACATGTTTTGGTACTGCCCCCCCCCCATCCTGATGCCACTGCCTCATCGAATAAGGATCCAATGTAGTATTTATTTAGTGTACTTATTTAAATATAAAAAAAGTGCTGGTCATGTCTTGTTAGGAAGAAATCAATACAACAATTGAAGTATTTATCTATAATTCTTTTGTAACTGGAGCATAATTGAAATATCATTTGTGACAAACTGTTCCACTTACTTTATAGCTTACATGATGTGCAGCCATTTGTCCAATTAGTTTCAGCAGTTCCCTTGGAAAAAAACAGCCAATACAATTCCAATGTTTCCTGAAGGTTTGTAAGCCTCTGCTCTATAGACAAGTCTTTTTATAGGCAATTGCAGTGGCAATTAAATACTGTGGGAATAAACTTAGTTTAGTTTGATCCAAGGATAAATATTAACAAGTGACTGTTGCACAAATTTAAGTGTAAATATCTGCTTACATTAAATAACTACATTCAAAATTCTTATTTTTGCTCAGTTTCTAATATTAGAAAGGAAGACGCATGCACATTGACTAAAACCAGCCTTGATATAGTGTTTAACTATTATTCTTCTTATGCCTATAAAACCAATGTGAAATTTAATAAATGGAAAAAAAATATTTTGGGAGGTTGTCTAATTTATATGTTGAAATTCACTTTGCTGATCAATATTTTCTTTTATTTCCTTCTTCCAAGTGGCAGTTTTTAAATATTGAGCTACCATTTTCTTCAGCAATGAACTAATCTCTTTGAACTTGTAATCTTTTTCTTTACAAAATACTATCAATCAGCCAATTTTTTCATGTCTCTCTTGATTATTAGAAGTTAATACTTCCATCTGTTCTTGCTAGATAGTCAGGTCTGTTAACCTCTGTTCTTTGTCTCCTTTTCTATTGAATTTCTAATAAGTTCCTTTTCTTTTCATTCAAGTGACACTGATGAATAAATGATATTTCAGCAATCAATGTGATAACTATATTGCAAGAGAATTTTTATCAGTGTATTCATTCTACACCCATTTATAGGATCTTACATGTAAAACTGACAGTCTTGTTTATCATCTTGCTAGAATAATACTAATATTAAATAGTCAATTTGTCGTTAATTTGAATCAGTAATGCCAAACAATCTTTTATATATGCAAACTTTAAATAACTAAAAATTATCTTTTTGTGTATTATTTTAAGTAATATTAAGTAGTATTCTTTTTTTTTTTATTTTATTTATTTATTTTTTATTTATTTTTTTTTTTTAATAAACCTGGTAAAATTTATTATATTATTAATTGGTTATTAGTCTTGATTTCTCTTAATCTTATGAAACCAGATATTTACAATCAAGTGTAGTTAGTAAAACAGTAGTTTCACTGACTTTTCCTCTGGTGATTATTATCCTGAGTCAGTTTATAATGATTTTTGGCTGCCTTTAGATGAATATGTACTATACATGATGCATCAAATTTGTTTCATTGCTGATCAGATGTGGACTGCAGCAGTAAAAATGATAAATTATAATAAAACACTCATCCTCTGCTACACTGCAACTTGATGCTGCTACTATTATTACTACCATGTCATCAACTTTGTCAATGTGGACAAGTAATTTCAGCTGTTTTATTATTCCTCTAGCTAGGAGTTAAACAAAGTGTTTCACTCTGCTTTATGGAGGTTTTATCTGTATGGAACTTTTAACATAGAAACTTTAAAAGATCTACTGGCATTGGTCACTGTATGCACCCATCACCAACAAGAACTTTAAAATTTTGACTGTATTTATATTGCTTTCAGGACCTTTTAAAAATAAAATAGAGTACCATGTGCATGATGATTTACTATAGAAGAAATAGGTTTTACAGATTACCTTTAGATATGTCACCAGTCTTTTTTTTTTTTTTTTTTTTAAATCTAATTTGTTTGATGTTGCCTAGTTTCAAACATTATGTTCCAGTGTTCCAATTCTTTTCTCATTTGAAATATTGAAGTTATTTTCAAATTCTGTTTTTTATTTCTTTTTCAGTGGACTTTGCTGCCCATACTCAGACAATTACTTGTCTTGCTCTTGGGCATAAATCCTCTGTATTGGTTACTGGAGGTGAGGATCGAAAAGTCAACCTCTGGACACTCAACAAAGATGGATGTCGATCAATTATGGTAAAGAAAAAAGATCTTTCATAAGTTTGTCAGATTTCTTTTGTCAGGCATTAGTTTTTGTAAATTGTCAAATCCATTCTTGATTTGAATTGCTGATAAAAATGTCTGATGCTGTTATATCAAAACATTAATTTATGGAGAGAGAAATTAATTTTAAACTGTAAAGAATTTATTACTTAAGTTTTTATGCTTCATGCAATTGATAACAAATTTAGACATGCTTTGTGTTTATCACTGTCACCATTTGCATGTTATATATAAATGTGTGTGTGTGTAATTGTTCATTTAAAAAAAATGATGACACTTAATGACTGTGACATGTTAAATTTAGAAAGTTTTGTGGTATTGCCTTTTAAAAGAAAAATAAGAAAAAAACAAAAACAAAAAAAACAACAAATGATTATCAAAGCTTACCAGTAACAAAATCTGTAGGAGTGAAAGGAAATAAAAATAATTTTCCCCAGAATCCTTGATGAAATTGTAAAAAATTTTTACTCGTAGACATGCTAGCTTGGGGTTTATATATATATATATATATATATAATGTGCATGCAAATCGCTTATGATTTTCCTTTCACAGTTTTTTTTTTTTTTTTTTTTTTTTTTTTTTCATCAACTGTTTGCATTACCATGGTAGCAAGTAGTCAGGTAGACGTAAACAGTTTACCTACAATTAACAAGCAAAGCTTATCTTATTTTTTACTTTCTTTTTTATCTATTTTATTTTTGTTATACTTTGATACTCAATGTAGCTCAATTTTTATGAAGTGGGGTTGTAAAATGGAAGGCACAATAAAATAAAAATCATATTTTTATCTGATTTTCTCTTTTCTAAAGAGAAGGTGAATAAGAGTTGTAGCAGTCAGTATAAATGGTATAACTGGATGATGATGAGATTGGCAGCAAAGGATGGAAAGAACAGTTTTAATGATTTTTTTTTTAAAAATATTTTTAATAGAAATTTAGAACCCTTTTGCATTTAGTAGAGAAATGTTTTTCCTTTTTCTTCTGTAATTTTTAATAAAGCAATTTATGAATAAAAGAAAGTTATAATTTCCCCTATGATTACACTGTAATCACTTCAGCATCAAATATTTTGTAAATTTAAATTTACTGTGTTTGCAGGTTTCTTTTGAAATGTTTACTAAGAATTTAAAATCTGTGATAATTATAGAAATTCATATTGTTTAAGACTGATTATATATTGATTTTAACCAAAACCTTTTTTACAGTTTATAAAAAAATTTACCATTTTAAACTTTCCAAAAATATTTTGCATTTTACTATTTAGGTATTAATTTTCTTTAAATTTATAATAAAGGTGTCTCTCTTAATTTTCTCAGAAATTTTAATATTTGTATTAAAAAAAAAATTTTGTCTGGAGTTTTTTTTTTTTTCTTCTCTCTTTCCTCTAGTTTAAAAAAAATATTTATTGTCAGTTAGAAAACAAGTGCAAAGGCTCGATAACCATTCCTAAATCAAATTTATTTTATAATAAATATTAATCTCAGTTAAGATGTTTGGACCTCATTTATTTTGAATTAGTTTTTCATTGATTTATGGCTTCAATTTTAGGAAAACTCAGAACATTCCTTGTAATTTAAGATGTTATATATCAAGCAGCTAATTAAGGTGAAAGCAGCCATGAAAACCTGTGCACTTTCTATTGTACATATAAACAATGTATAAGCAAATATTTGTTCTAACTTTTTAGATGAATTTAATTCAGCTTGAATTAGAACTGTTGTAGTCTCCTTTATCAGTATAAATCTGAAAAAAAAAATAGTCTACTCAAAAATCATAAAATTACTTAATACAAGTCATACTTAGTCATTTATATAATTCAAGGTCCAAGTGTGTGTGTGTATACACATGCATATATAATGTAGTGGCATATGTACTCGACCTTCTTTTTTTTTTTTTTTTTTTTTTCTCTCTCTGATAAAACCAAGATGGTATAATTTGTATATTTTTATGATTAGTTTGTGGTTAAAGTGCATAAATTCTAGTTTCAGTTTCCTAGGTTGAATAAAAAATAATTCATTATTTCATGTGACTTTAATCATTTTAATTAGTAAATGTTGTGGATTATATCAGAAATCTTTATTAGAATAAAACTTCTATGGTAATCGATTATTTGTAAGATGTTAATTAGAAATTCATATTGTTTGAGACTGAACAAGTTGAAAAGCATTTGAAGAAATATAACTTGAGGTTGAGCAGTTGGAATAGGATGAGTTTAGGTAGAAAGGCCCAGAATGAAGACAGCTGAGAAAAGAATTAACTGTCATCATGAATCCCACAAGAAGAAATAATGAGATTTGGCTTCAACCAAACTATAATACACATGACTAACATTTATTTAATCTGTGAGTGGTCGAAAATACTGCAAAGTGAATTGTGGCTTTTACTGTCAATTTTATCATTAAATAATTACTTATTCAGTGCATTTGAAGGCATGGCTCAGTGGTCTAGCATTAAATATGGTTTGTTACAATTTTCAAAACTGAGTCAACAAAACATTTTTATATACAAACTTAGAATAGCTGACTTTTTTTTTTCTCCTCTCTCTCTCTCTCTCTCTCTAAAAGATCAAAAATTCTATATAGTCAAAGATTGTGGAAGGATTTTTTTTATATATTAGAAAAGTAGCTTGGACATATGCCTTATCTTTAAATGTGGGAAGTTATTTGAGTTGTTGCAAGAACCTCTGAAATTAAGAATTCTAATCTTTGATTAATATATTCAATGCATGTCAGTTTAGTAGAAGTATTAGAAATGTGTTAACTTCATTGATGTAATATTTTCAGTTTTTTATTTTTTTATTTTATTTTTTACAATGTGTATGTCATTTTAAATTCTTGGGAACCTGTTACAGTTTGTCACTACTAAGAAACCCGAATCAGAACAGTTTTAGAATGATTTGACTTTTTTTTTTTAAGTTTGAAAAAATAGTAAAAAATTAATGGTTGTTATAAAATAATCTCATGACCTAATTTTAAGTTTTTGTCTTAAGATTAACTAGTAAAAAACAAAAATTTAAGAAATAGTTTTTCAAATGTTTTTGTTTAAATATTTAATAATTTTCATGTCTAGATTTTAGATCCTATTGTTAATCTCCTTTTCTGTGTATTTCTTAATTTGAAAGCATTTACACAGAGCAGTATTCTTTTTCACAACTTTTTTTCTTTTTTTTTTTTTTTAATCTGTAACTTTTTTTTTTTGCTTGTGTTCAGAGTTTAACAAGCCATGTTTCGCCAATATCTGCTGTTCAGTTTGATCATTCAGAGGAAAAAGTTGCATCAGGAACACGATCAGGCACCTTTAAGTTATGGGACCTTGAAACAGAAAAAGGTGAGTCCCTCCAACAGGAAAAACGGGTGGAAGAGATAAAGGAAAGAAAGCAGTCTATCCACCTGTAAAGTAAAATTTGGTTGACTGGCCTTTCATGCCTGCTGTTTTTTTTTTTTTTTTTGTGTCCTTGTCAATAACAATTCTATGAATAGATTATTTCCTGTTGCCCTTTTTCAAACACTGCTTTGTATTATTTAAACAAAACCATATAGAATCACATTTTATTTTTCTTAACCATATATCATTTTTTTCCTATTGATTTTGATTAAGCCTGTTTGAAAATTGAAAGAACAAACATTTCAGCTTAAATAAAATTGTCATGTTCTGTAGAATATTTACTTCAAATTAAATAGTTTTTTAGGTATATTAAATAATTATAATAACTGCAAATTATTTTGACTAAAGTGGCTTCTATTCTTAATACAAACATTAGTGAACAAGGATTCAGGTAAGGAGGTGAAAGTTAGTGGGGAATTTTTTTTTCCTTGTAAAGCTTCATATTACTTGCTACTTCTGAAAATTTAATGTATTTGTTTTTTTTAATACTTATGAGAAAATGTTATGTATTTTGCGCATATAACTTTTCATGCTTGTATATTTATCTTAACATTTTATTTTTAGGTTGATATTTTTGTTCAATTTGCATACAGACTTGTCTATATTTTAAGGTACAAAACATTAGTTTTTGATTTGCAGTTTATATGAAGTTTTATGAATAAACTGGACCATTTCATAGTAAAAGGGTGAGCATAACCTGATTTAGTCTGCATAATAATTTTGTCTTTTTTGCAATTTCAGTTCAAAAAACTTTATCTGGTCATCGAGCAGGAATTAAGAGTTTAGCTTTCCTTCCAACTGGAGATTTTATAGCTTCTGCCTCTATAGACTCCAGTATAAAGGTAGGTACTTCATGTGCAAAGTGGAAAATATTAAAGTTATGACTTTTGTCTAGGTTTGTTTATGTCGTCTCTGTAAAAGGACTCCATTTTAATTATTGTACTTAAGGAAATAAATCATCTACAAAACATAATAAAAAGGAAGTGCTACAACCTGTTCTTTTGTTTTCACAGCACTTGCTAACTTAATAAATGGTGAAATAATCATTCTAATCTTCAAGTATTTGATATTGACTAGGCCAGTGAAATGGCTGATTATGCAACTGGTATTAACAGATTTTGTAAAGGTTACCTGGACACACTTTTAGTCACCTAATTGAAAATTTATCAGCTTATATATATATATATATATATATATATATATATATATATAAGCTAAGCTGATAAATTTTCAATTTGTATAATTTAAAATATTGCATTGAAAATAGCTTTTAAAGCATATTCTGTTTGAGAAATTTTTTATTTGAGTTTTGAATTAAAAGATGAATTTATAATTTTGTTTTAGATTCTAAATATAGCTACTTCTGTATAATCTTGACTTTCCACTATCATTGCAGCATTTGAATTCCTTTGTGTATGACAAATTAATGAATAATGGCTTTTTGAGATGTGCAGCAATTTGGTTGATAGGTTATATATATATATATATATATATATATATATATATATACACACACACAATTAATAAGAAATTTACTTTTTTTTTTTTTTCCTTAGAGTCATACCAAACAGTGAGGGTGGGGGAATGTATTTTATTTTATTAATAGTGTAAATTTTAGCTGCTATTTTACATTTATTACCACCTGCACTCATTGTGCAATATTTTATACTTATATATTTACAATGTGTAGTTGGAAAGGGATAAATTTACTCAGTATTCTGTGAATCGGTCAATATTTTAAATTAGAAACATAAAATGTTTTGCTTTTAAATATTTATTTCGTAAGGAAGTACTTTTGATGCTTTAAGCTGACAAACAAATTTATATTTCCAGTTATGGGATATCAGACGAAAAGGTTGTATATATACATACAAGGTAGGTATTTTTTCTTGGTTTTTTATGTATGAGTGTTGCACTGAAAGTAATACCTCCTATTTTATGTTGGCTCGTAATGTCAGGTAGATGGAAGTGGTATTGCAGTAGAGGTTGAACCTTTCTGTCCATAACCTAATAATTGATTTTTGCCTTGTTGCAGATAGCAGCTGTGTATGCAACCTGGCAAAATAACATCTTACATGAAAGCAGAGGTATATCACTGAACTCCACCATGTGGAAAAAAAAATGTCACATACTGACATTCAGCATTTGTTTAAATGTTTATGGAAATGAGACAGTGGATGTGAGCACAGTTAGATGGTGGGTAATGTGTTTCAGCAGTGTTCAGTGATGTGTGTGAAAAAGTAAATCACCTCTGCTGATGTAGATTTTTATGATTGTGACAGGTTTTTTTTATTGCTAGCATACTTAATGGTTGTGACTGTTGAGGGAGGGGATATTGTTTTGTACTGGTAACCTGTTATATACAACTGTGTCTGTTTTTAGTTTTTGTGAAAATGTTAGGAGGCCTTAATTTCAAATCGTGTTTTAGAGTTACATTGTACTTTTCCTACTTATTTTCCTAGGTTTTTTTTTTTTTTTTATTTTATTTTAATGAAATAATTTTTTTCTTGTTAAGGGTCATCATGGCGCTGTCAATCATTTACAGTTCAGTCCTGATGGTGGTTGGGTTGCTTCAGCAGGAGAGGACGGGATTGTCAAGGTGAGCAAGTTCTATTTAAAAAAAAAAAAAAAAAAAAGTCTTTTTAGATCAAACAACACCTGCAAGGGCCTTTCAACTTAAGATACAACAAAATATATAATGTATTAAAAGGAACCACTATCACTGATCCATTAAGAACACAATATGCAGCCACACCTGGAAACATGAGGGATATGCTGAAAAGTTCTTAGCCTGACCCAATAACCAAGCATCAGAATTTATTTTTGGAAGGGCTTCTTGGTGAACAATTTTTCACCACCCTGTTGTATTCTAACATGGACTTTTTTTTTCTCACTCATATAATGCTAACATACTAACACAAATATGAAGTTTTAACAAGGAAATTAAACATGATTATAAAATCAGAATATATGTTCACTACTTTTTGTATTTTGTCATATTGAAGCAAAATGATTTTCTTAAAATGAACACTAACCTAATGAGTTGGATTAGATGAAAAATTCTTTGTGGGCATGTTCTTTATTTTCATAGAAGTTCGAGTCTGATATTTATTTATTATTTTATTTTATTTTTTTTTTTCATTTAGCAATGAGGTGATGAAATATTAAAGTGTTTATGTATATTTATCAAATTTTTCTAAAAAGTTAATTTATAATCCCATATTTGTAATGTTTTAATACATTACAATGCACAAATGAAAAAGAAATTCTTAATATTAAAATGTATTTGAAAGAATGGTTCAGTTTAGGATGTTATTTTTTCACACACACATTGAGTATTGGAATAGATTGTTTTGACAGTGTATTTCATAATGATGAGCTTGACTTTGTAAATTGTGTTGCAGCTGTGGGATTTAAAAGCTGGCAAATTATTAAGAGATTTAACAGGGCATAAATATGGAGTAAATGTGATTGATTTCCACCCTGGGGAACTCTTACTGGCATCTGGAAGCTGTGATAGGTGAGTGCTTTCTTAGCTAATTACCTTGCATAATCAACTTCACTAATTTCTTAAGTGCTCTTTTCTATAATTGATTAAATGAAAACTGTTTTTCTTGTTACATTGATTGATCTTTCTTCAATAATGGACTCTAAAAAGTTTAAATATTTTGTATTTACAATAGAAAAAATTATGAACTTTACTAATGATTGTTTAGATTGATTTCACTTAAAATATTTTTGTAAATTTATCTTTTTATTGCATTAAAAACTGGTTAATCTATTTATAAAAAGTGTGAAGTTCATCACATTGATATAATAATATCGGGTTTGTTTGAATATTTTTTTAATCACTATTCTACTTTGATGTTTTTTATTTATTTTTATGTGTAATGTGTGTGTGTATATATATAATACATACAAACACACTTTATTTTAGGATATTATATCAAAAACATGTAAAAAAAACCAAAAAAAAAACCATTTTTTGATGTGCATTAACACCTCAGGTGTTAGTAAATAACTGGTTAGTAGACAATTTATTGAGATTTAAACATACAACCTCTTTTCATGAGAAGCTAGAAAAGAAAAAGTATGTATTATTTATTAAATCAAAGATTTGAATTAACAGTTAATTGTAAACATATACCTTTTGACTCTATAATCTTGCTAGACTTTGAAATTTGACAATTGTTTCTTCTTATATTTTAGAAAAACTTTGTTGCACCATATAAAGCTTATCTTTCTGCCAGTAAGATCAATTTTGATGTAGTATATTTTGTACATTATTCTTCTGGTACTGTTGGTAATATTTATTCTAGAGGTATAAGTGTTTGGCTGAAATTTTGACATTTTGCATTGATTGGTTTTATTAACACCCTATATAGGACCCTTTAGTTAACAGTTTCATACTATTTTGTATGATCTATATATTTAAATCATTTTATTATATCTATATATTTTAATAGTTTGGTTAAATCAATTTGTTTAAACTTTCCATTTATTTTTTTAAAGAACCCTATTATGTACCATGTATAAAAATGTGAAATTTTAATTGCAGCAGGCCATATATATATATATATATATATATATATATATATATATATATGATTGAGATCAAATACAGATCAGAATCTAACAAAATGACTAGATAAGGAACAAATAGGAAATGTTTATCAATCTAACATGTTTTACTTTGATTAAACTTCATATGGAGAAAAAGAAATTCTGGAGTTTTTATTTTTGTGTTTGATTTTCATTAGGATTTTATGCTTGAACAACCATTTTAAACTCTCTCAATACACAGGAACAAAAACTGGCCATAACTTTCATTTTACAAATCCCACCCTAATTAAAAAAAAAAAAAAAAAATTTTTTTTTTTTTTTTTTTACATCAAAAGTACTTTGAAGGATTACTAATAAATATTTTACCAGCTATAAATACATCAAAAATATATTAAATCACCAACCTTTATTGAATCCATTCTTAAAGAATCTAACATGTGTTTATCTAAAATGAGCAGTCTATACATAAAACCCTCCCAAATCAACTTGCATAGCTGGGACCCTAAGAAGGGGTTCTATGGCCAAATAGTGAACCCCCAAACAAAAATGAAACAATATGAAAGTATAAAAATAGATTTTTATAGTAGAATTACTAACAATACATTTTATAGCAATATGATCAACAATACATTTTATCTGTAGTTGAAAGCATAGAACTGTTCAAAATATATTTACTTGAAGCCATAAAAACATGTTCAAAAGATTTAAATTTCAGCATTAAATAACTCAGAGGTTAATAGCTGCTAAACAACATTAACCAACTAACCACACATAACATCTACTAGAGACACACACACACACACACACTCACTCATCTGAATCCCATATAGGCAAATTAGAATTATAAACTTATATCCATAAAGCAATATTTATAGCTCTTCAGGTAGGTTTGGAATCTTTTAATTTAACCAATGGAAATCAAACAACACAAAAATAGAAATACCAGAATTTTTCTTTCTCTTCATGTCATTCTCTGATGAAGCTTTAATAAAAGTGAAACACATTAGATTGATAAGTTTTCTATTTGTTTATCTTTCTATTTGTTATATATAGCTAGATATAATTTTTTTGTTACTGTATTCAAATTTCTCCTTGCTAAAAGTTTGAAAAATTGAGTACACAAATAAAAAATGCATGAAATTACATCTCAGAATATCAGAAAGCAATAAAAATAATTTTGAGGCATTAAGTAGAATCTATGATTATTTGTCCAATTTGGAGCAACTAGCAAGATCTCACAAGAAATTTCTTTATCCTGGGTATTCTTACTCTTGTAGTTAATTACATACTGATTCAAAACAATTCAAAGATGGTGGTAAATGGAGTGAAACCAGCAATTGTCCTGGAGCAACTGACATCGCACAAAAATATTTTGGTCTCGGTGGTTAAGACAAACATTACCTTTCCTTGATTCATGAGATTTTCTGTATTTTATAACTTTCAAAAATAGAAAAGAAAAAGTATGTTCACTAAAATAGGCAGAGATTTTTGCTTCTCATTTTATCCCCACCAATACTCACGGACTGCTGACTTTGTTTACACTGTAAAAATGACAAAGAGAGCTGAAGAGGAACTAGCTTGTTTGTAATGAATGTCACCATGAGAAGATTTTCTTTGCACTGAAATGAAAGTTCACTTCAATGTCTTGCTGCTGTTATTGTAATTAAAAAACACAACTAAAGCCCTACATGCAAAGCTGACTGTAGACAAAGGATATTACTAAACGTTTACTGAACTTGATCATAGTTGTACAACATGTCATGACAAGTGCAAATCCAGACATTAAGTGACCTTTTTTTTTTTTTTATCATATCTTTTTATATTCTGTTATGACCAACTTTCTTTCAAATTTCTAAGTAGGTATTGAAAAGTTCTCAATCCATGCTACTTCCTAAAATCTGATCAAATGGCTAAACAAAATTTTTATTTTATTTTTGTATTTATTTGTTTTTTTGTTTAAGAGCTTCTTTGTTAGGTTGAACTTTTTAGCATTTAAACCTTGTTAACTGTTAAGCAAAATACTTGTTCCAGTATGAATGATTTTTTTTTCTTTGCAACCTATCCTTCCAGCACAGCTTTATATATCTACGGCTTGTGCATGTTGTATGAACTTTTACCAGTTAAATACTAGCCACATGGCCCACTGCTACAGAGCTTATAGTAATGAGCATTGTCGCTTGAAAAAAGGAGCAGAAAGAAAGAAAAAGTTATTTTCTCTCATAAGTTTATTGAACCTTATTTTTGCACATTTAATCTGTTAAAGAATTAAGTTGTTTGTTGATATTTACTAATCTTGTCTTAGTTGGGCTCACAATAAAATTATGATTTGGAAGATTGTATTGCTCAAATCTTTCATGTTTGAGGGAGTCTGCCTATGAAACTGGCATTTTTTTTGCCTTGGTTGGCTCAAACACCAAAAAACTGGTAACCACTCAACTGTTACAGTCACTAGGGTGACTGGTTATTTTATAAAATGATATAAGTGTATCAATGAGGACCTGTTTCTCCTTAATATTGTATCAGAATGAAAGTAGCAGATATGACCTTTTCTTTTGGATTCAAAGAAAAAAATCTTTTTTTCAGGACTGTCAAGTTCTGGGACTTAGAAACATTCCAGTTGGTTAGCTCAACACCAGAAATCTCTCATGAAATTGAGTAAGTCTTGCAGGTTTTATTTTAGTTTTAATCATTCATAATTTTTTGAACATTTAAATTTACTCTTAAGATTATGGAAATGGACAAAGTCCAACAATTATTTTAAGATATTTTTTTATAGTCTTAAAATAATTGTCAAACTTTGTCATTTCATAATGTTTGACGTCATTTGTTTACATTTGGATACACATCAAGCAGATATGAATGTATGAGAGAAAATCATGGAGAATTGTGGTTTAAAAACAGTAAAGTTGACCTTGTTAACCGAAACACTCCTCTGCGACTCAATCGGTAAAAGCACGTCAGGCTATATGACAGTTCTGTATAGGATACAGGTTCAATTCCTGTTGGAGGACGCATATTCTCTATGAAAATTTCTCTGACATTCAGACTGGTAAATGTTGTTAATACTGTTTATTATAAACCGAGCATTTACTTAAATGTTTGTATCTATAAAAAAGAATGTATAAACATAAAAAATGTCTTAAAATATATATATATATGGATTTATTTTACTACTTGTTTTTCTTTATTTCAGTAATATCTTATTCCATCCGTCTGGATCCTGTCTGTTCGCAGCCAGTGCCAACATGTTACGTGTCTATGGCTGGGAACCTACTCATTGCTATGATGAAATTAGAACAAACTGGGGAAACATTGCTTCCATGTGTTTCACAAGTACACAGCTTGTAAGTTAGTCAACATTTACGTTACTTCTTCAGTTAAGAAATGAAATAAAATTAACATTTAAAATAAAGAAATTGTTCTTCCAAATATCTCTCCTTCCAGATTTATTCTCAGATTATCTTGTGGCTTATTAAGGTTATGTTTACCTGTATACACAATTTTCTGAAAACTAACTTATTCTGAGATTAGTTTTTACCATAATTTTAGTAAATACATGACAATTTCTTTGAAATTAGTACAAAGTAAATCTTTGCAATTATTTTATCTCTTTTTTTCATTGACCCATTAATTCCTGCTGTCCCATTTGGGGGATTTTAGATTTAACCTTAGATGAAATTTATTGTAACTTTTCAGCGGAAAATATTTGCATAAAGTAATAATATCAAAAGGTGGATTGTAATTCGTCACAATAAGTATATATGTAGAATCTCACTGATCTTATGTACTTAAAATCTTCATTTAATGTATATTTAGGGAAATCACTACTTTTCTTTCAATAGTAAAACCTCTGCAGGACTACTATTTCATATTTGGTATTTTTCTTGTAGATGAACTTACCAAGCAAAGTTGATATACTGTGAATGAGTGACTCTTATTTACTCTATTTTTCCTTGTAATTTTCAGCTCGCAGCCTCACACATGGAAACTTTTGTCTTTCCTTATCTTATTATCCTACAGGTAAGCTAATCTTCTGCTTATTTTGAGATTTAATTCATTTGCTTAACAATATCTTCAAATTTTGGAAAGTCTCTTATTTGGAAGTATACTATGTCCAGTCACTCTGACTGCTGCTGGTACCATGCAACCCAGTGCTATTTACCATGTGATTGATTGATTTGTTGGGGACTAAACAGATTTCCCCACCAGGCTTTTCTGGTGAGGAGGGTGGTTAGACACTGAACAGGATTAAAAAAAAAAAAATTGTCAAAGGGTGGATGAACTTTCTTGTAAAGTCAAAAGCTATCTTGTACAATGGGGTAGGCTGGGCTCCACAGCTATGTATGCAGCCAGTGCAGTAATGACACAGCATCACTGGGTAGAGGACTTCCTAGGCTGAAGTAAACAGGCAGAGTGGAGCCCCCCCCCTCCCCGCCATGAAATTAACAGCCACATGTCTGTGACCAAGTTGGCCTTCAAGTTAGAGGACATTGGCTGTGGTTTGACATGAAGAGTTATGCAGTTCACTGAGTCAAGATACACTATACATGAATGAATATTTCTCTGGCTTTCTACCAAAATATGTGAAGGGAACTGGACAGGTGCTCAGCTGTGCAAAGCCCCTACAACCTCACCCATTCATGAACTTGATATTCTGTCTAAGCAGAAATGTAATAGAATTTCACACAGTAAATAGTACTAAATGGATGTAAATTGTTGCTGATAAAAATCAGCTCTTACTTTAGATGAGCAAATCTATTGGCTTTGCCTTATCATTTTTAATGATTTTTTTTTGGTTAATGTTGAGTCTGAAACAGGTCAGTTTTTCATTACTATTTATACACTCATCAGCTAAAGGTGATTAATTGCTTAAGACATTGTCAATTACTCTTTGTAAGAGACTTCAACTTGGCTATACAAACTGGCTGCAAGGTATACAAATTCTCACTCTCATAATTTTTGTGAATCTGTTGTCTGTAATTGTATTATTTTTTTCTTCAGAGAGTCAAACCTATTAAAGAGGTGCTGCACAGAGAACAAAAGAATAATAATACCAGGTGAGTGACTTTTAAAAATCCACTTTAGATTAATCTCAAACAAGTTTGTTCTTGATGAGCTGTGCCTTAAACAGGAGCTAACTTGAGAAATGATTTTTTTGTTTTATTTTTCACATCTTTTCTTTTGTTCTTTCGTCTAGCGTCTTTCTTTTTCTTTTTGAGAAATGATTTTTTTTTTTTACGCCTCGTTTTTCCTTTTATACATTTACTTTTCTTTACGTCTTCGTTCTTTTACGTCTAGATTCTTTTACGCCTCGTTCTTCCATTTTCTTTACGCCTTTTCGTTCTTCTTTTACGTCTCGTTCTTTCGTCTCGTTTACGTCTCTTCTTTTTACGTCTCGTTCTTTCGTTTCTTTCGCCTCGTTCTTTTACCTCTCGTTCTTTACGTCTCGTTCTTTACGTCTCGTTCTTTACGTCTCGTTCTTTACGTCTCGTTCTTTACCTCTCGTTCTTTACCTCTCGTTCTTTACGTCTCGTTCTTTACGTCTCGTTCTTTACCTCTCGTTCTTTACCTCTCGTTCTTTACCTCTCGTTCTTTACCTCTCGAATATAAAAAATATGCTTTTTGTTAGAACAACCATTTTGACTTTTTTTTTTTTTATATAGATCAGTTTAGAAAGTCTGACTGATTTCAATCTGGAAAATGAACTTAAAAACCAGTCTTTTTCAACACTAACAGTTTTCTCTCTTTCTTCTACAGAGTAACAGATCATTTTATTGAGCGCCCTCCAACAAAATCAACTCGACAAATCAGGTAATTTTTAATTTTGTCCTTGAATTTAAAAAAAGTTTTTTTAACAATTAATAGTTTTTTCTAGTATTTAATGCCCTTTCTGCTTTAACTTTTTAGAAATAATTATCTGTTTTGTCTTGAGGCTTCTTAAGAACCTGGACTCTTTAATATTTGACCTCAATATTGAAATGATGGGAACTTTAGGGTAATAAATATCAGTAGCTATTTTGTTGTTTTAATGACTTATAATCATGTTACTTCTGATTCACATGATACTGTTTGTGTTCTCACTGATCTAAAAGTTGACTGTTGAATAGTCAATGATAATGTTTGTTTAATATCATTCACAACTATTGCCTTCTTAAATCTCTTCACTTTTTGTTTGTTACCTGTAGTGACATAACTTTTTCTAAAATAGCCATGGCATCATTGCCTTAATTTTTTTTAATCTTTTAACTTTTCCTTTTAAAATGTAATCGTTTTAAATAGAGATGTGGAAAAACATGAATCGGTGTTCTTATTTCTAATAGGATAATCTATATGGCTTGTAAATAAAAATTAAGGGAAATATATTATTGTAATAGGTGTTAAAATAGAAACAATACTGACAACTAAGCCTAGTCAATACCTTATTTCTTTCTTAGTTTTCTCATATAAGACTTTTGAGTCTATGAAACAACTAATTCAAAATATTACAATGAACAATTTTTTTTAATTTGTCAACCCAAAATATTTTATTTTACTCCTGCCAGCTGTTACTATTGTTTTCAACTCGTGACCAATAAATATTAATTCTTTCTGAAATTCTGATGTTAATATTTCCTATCTAAATGAAAGGAACATGGCTTTCTTTAACAATGTTTTAATTGTTCCCTATACAGTCCAAGGAAGATTATTTTGGCAATAGTTGCTTTTGACTTGTAAAAGTATGCTTAATACAAAAGAATTTAAAGGAAACCTATTCTTTCAATAATTGTTGGATGCAATAGGTTAACTTTTTTGTATAAAATGTTTTAATTGAATAATTTCAAATTGAAGAAGAAAAAAAAAAAATTACACACACACACACACATATATATAGGTATGTGTGTGTGTTTTTGAAGTCTTTAAGATAAGACTTAGCAATAAAATCCTTTTGAAGCTTCATTTACAAATTTGTCCAAGACAAACTTATTCAAACTTGCCCATTTATTTTAATTTTCAATCTAATATTGAGTTTCAAAAGAATTTTTGATGTCACTGCATGGTGTTTGGATTTTTATATATTGGTTGACTTGATGAAGGTAATATTAACTACTCTTTAATATTGATAATGTACACAAAATTACAACATCTTAGAGTATTAGTCTCAAGTGTAATTCCAATAACATTTATCAACAGAATAATAAATTTACAAGGAGTAAATCGGTTTGCCTATCATCTGGTTGATACTCCTTAGTCTTCTATCCCTTGTTTTCTGTTTAAGATTTGATTCCCAGTTCCTTCTAAAGTTTTTTTTTTTCTATTCTCTTTCACTCCCTGTAATGCCTCATGTCTTAGTGGCATTATTGCCTTGTATAGAGTGAAATGATTTTTTTTTTTTAATTATTTTAGTACACATCCCCTCCATGTTTTAAAAAAAAAAAAAAAAAAAAACTTGTTTTTTGACTTTAATAAATATTCGCTGTTTACTACATAAATTCAACTCAAGAATTGGTCATATTTTTGTTATGCTTACTAAAGAATATTTTCATTTCATTCTTGTACAAAAATATATTTATTTAAATCCTGTATTCAGTTTGTGATTTAACTTCCTAATTAGGAATTTCTTTTTTTTTTTTTTTCTTTTTTTCAGTTCTCCTTATCGAGAGCATAAAAGACCAGGTGCTTCCATACTTTCTTCTGATTCTACTAATAAGGATCCTGGACCTATAGAAGCCCCTTCAAAAGACTCTGACCTAGCACCCCATCATGTTATGCCAAAGCCTGTTGAGCACGACCGTAGAACAGAAAACCACAAAAAGTTAGACAGTCCAAATGATCATAGTGATTTGTCTAAACACAAGCACAATAACAGTGAGTCAGGACCATTTGCTTTTCCTGTTGCCCACTTCCTGCACCAAATACTTCTCCTTCCATGCTTGTCCTGCTGACTCACAGTATCTGTCTTTTAAAAAAAGTTTTAAGTTTCTTATCATACAAAAATGAGAAACTACCATTTTATGTTTCACTTATCAATATTTGATTAATAAATTGTCCTATTTATTGGGTGATTGAAAGTATCCTTGGTTTTTTTATTGGTTGAAGTTTACAAGTTTAGTTTTTATTTTCAATTTGCTATTCTCTGATTCTACGAGAATGTGATAGAACTGAATTAAAAATGTGATTATGTTTGACAAACCAAGCAAAATTCACTGTAATAATAAACTTTTTAAATACAACATCTTCAAATCTAGCGATATTTTAATATTTTAGAATTTATCTACAGCATACTTTTCTAAAGTTTCTTTGTAATTTTTATGCAGAAAAATTGGCACACATTTTTGAGTTTGGTGTGCGTTATTACACATTTTTTAATTTTTACTATTTTCATGTTTTTTGACGATCCATTTTTCATTTACTAAATTCAACTGAAGGAATCAGAATGAAAGAAACATTGTAAATTCTTGTCATTCAAAAGCCTAAGAAAAAGATAAAAATGACAAGTCATAAATGACATGTTATTGAAAGTTTTTATTTCAATAACATGTTTAATAAGTAAGTTTAGACATTTTACTTGTAATTTAGTATATTTACTCTTTCATTCTGACAGTATGTAAAAGTCCTTTTAAAAGATATATTTATCTAGTTTTCTAAAAAAAAAAAAAAAATGTTCTGAAATTTCAATCTTTTAAATCATTTCAGTTTCTCCAAATAACAGAGAACCTTTAAGACCTCAAGGTAGTCCTTCTTCTCATCCTAAGTTGGTACCAGGAGTGAAAACACAAAAATTGTTAATTGATGTAAGTATTTTCATAACTTCTTGGGATCTCAATAGGTGTTGCAACAGAAGTAAGAAATTGAGGTTGCTAACCTCAAAGAAAAATGTTTATATGAAAACTTCTTTTAGCAGAATCTTTCTCTCATTTTTACTTATTTTTTTTTTCAAATCTATTGATGACTAGTATTAAAAAAAATTGTATTATTGCCTTAAAACTTTTTTACAGGCACAAGTTTATTTTGAGGTTTATTATTTCATTATTAAGATTCTGTGAGGTTGAATTGATAATGTATGTTAATTTATGAATTTGATTGGATAAATTAAGGAATTTGAGTTCAAGAGCAGTGATATAAAATTTTTATCAAGTGAGTGTGAATAGAACTTGTTTCTGCCTAAAAGATTGAAAAAGCTAAAGGACAAATTCCCAGTGAAATTTCAAATCTCTTTTCTCTGGTTATAAAGCTTGTCATCAGTTCACTTTTTTTTTTGTCTTTATTCATTCCCAAACAATCTTGCACAATAATTAGTGTTTGATCTTCTTCCCCCAAGAGACTTTGAATAGTTATTTTTGTCTACAGGATCTGATGGTAGTATTTTTTTTCTCTTTTAATATATATCCTGTTGAAAGGAATTAACCTTGGTTCAGAATCTTTGACCTCTATATGTTTTTTTTCTAAACAATAACTAGCTTCCTTTTGCTGAAAATTTCAATGAAAAAGATGTGGGTTTTTAGTTGTTTGGAGCAATTTATTTATTTTTTTCAAAAATGTTTTGCTTTGTATAGTGCATCTGAATGATTTCTTGATAGAATCCATAACTTGCTATTTTTTTTAAAGAAATTTGGACCATTCTTTTTATTCTTAATTGTTATACATTGCATAAATCATAGCAGAATTTCATTAACTTTTATTCAAAATCATTTTAGGAACTAGAACTTGAAATTTTCAACCAAATAGAAAAAGGCCATACAGCAGTTATTGATGAATTGCAACAGCGGAATGAAAATTTATTGAAAATTGAAGACAAATGGAAATATGATAATGTCCGAGTAAGTATAAACTAATGATTTTTGTTGATAGAAATGAGATTATTTTTCAAATATTCTTGATAATTATCCATAAGAGCTCTTGCTTATTTTTTTAAATATATAATGTACATTAGTTAATTCACTGCTATTTATTTACCAAACACAAATGATTATTTTAGAATGACAGTCTGGGTCCAAATCTTGCAGGCAATATTCTACATTTAATAAACTGTATGCTTTAGTCACAAAATTATTTTTTTTTAATTACATTAAATTATTTATTTGGATTTTTTTTTTTAATTGGTCAAGAGTTAAAAGAAAATATAGAAAGAGCAAAGTTCATAATATTAAATCTCTTCAGCATGTTTTTATATCTTAATTTAAAGCATTACTTTTTAAGCCTCTTTTTGGGTCAGATGTGGATTATTTAATAATTTGACCAAATTTTTTTTATTTTCCATTAGTTCATTCCTTTGCACATCTCATTTGTATTATGTCAATTTATAGACACATAAATTCTACCAAAAGTAAAATGTTATTAGTTTCCAAATGCCATTAGTTTCCTAATGCCATAAAAATGAAATATTTTGTCCTTCTGTTTAACCAGAGATATAGATCCCTTTTGCAAGGGAGATAACTCTAGTACAGCTAAAAAACAGACTTGGCATATCATAAAAAGATAATTCATTTAAGTCTGTATTAAACTGTTTTATTTTTTAATCTCTCTCTCTCTAGTCCCCCCCTCCCTCGTTAAATGTTACGTCCTTTTTAGATGTAGGTTATCATGGTGCTTCACAAATTCCTTTCCTTTATTATCTGTTGATATGCCATGACTTCTTAAGAAAGATAGTAATTTCCCATTACCTTCTCCAGTTTGGAATTCAGGATAGTCCTCCTCTTAGACTGGCTGCTATTCTAGGTTACAGAACCCAGTTTTCTCTACTACTTAACCCAAGGCTAAGAGCAAGAAGAAAAATCAATTCATGCTTTTCCTGAGAATATTTGTATGAAAAGTGAACATGACAGACTAAGCCAGAATTTGAACTTTTCTCATCAATTCCACTTTATCTGTATATCATCTATTTCACTATAGCTTTTTTATGTTTCTGCTTACCACTATCTTACCTGAAATTACAACTGAGCATGTGTTTTAAACTGATTACCTGACTGTGAATTAAATTGATCATTGAATTCATTTATATGCTGTAAATGCTGCATAAAAATATTGAATAAAAAAAAAAATCATATCTTTCTGAACTTTACATTTTTAACTTGTTTTAAATGTTAAGTGACATATCATGTAAAAAAAATTATTCAACATTCTCAGATTTTTTTTATTTTACTATTTTAAAAATTTCAGTCAGCTGTTAAATTTTGTGTTGACTTGAGCGACCCTTCTCTTGTGGTAGATATGCTGAGTGTTTTAAATGTGAAAAAGTGAGTACTTTTTTTTTTTTTTTTTTTGATGAGACTATTTGGGTTGCAAATGCCATTTTTATATATATATATATATATATATATATATATATGAAAAATTAGGGATGTTTGTAGATACATCAATGAATCTGTAGCTTAAAAAAATGCATTTATCTTAGATATTTTTCAACATAATCTCCTGTTATAATGCATTTAATTTAATGATGAAAATTGGTAACATCAAAATTCACTTAATAATTATTTTTTTCTTGTGAAATGTGTTTTAGCTATGTAATGTATAAGATTAAAAGTGCAGCATTCAAATTTTCTTGTTTCTCTTCAACCATTTTCTCACTCTGTTAAATGAAATAACTTTGATCAAATTAATATTTGCATTTAATAATTCAACACCAACCCTACAGTTCAACTCTCCATTTCCCATCTATACGATAAAAGCATTTTATTATTTCTCTAAATTAGTTAAAACACACAAGCAAGAAACTTGACTGACACCTAGTTTTAATCTAGATAAAAATGTCTGTTAATTCTGATCCTTATACCTTAAAAGCCCTTATTTATTTTTCCAGAGATTTATGGAATTTAGATCTGTGTATGATCCTCTGCCCAAAGCTGTTAGATCTTATCACCAGTCCGCACAGACGGTCAGTACTAACATTTAATTTTTTCTTTTTTCTTCTACAATTTAAAAATATTTTGATGCACCTCATTATTTTGAAATTTTATTCTTTCTCTTAACTATATTGTTATCTTAACTCTTATATTCTGGTATAAGAGTTTACTTATCTGGTGTAAATTAGAAGTATATTTGTGGGCATTTTAGTCTTTGCATATTTTTATCATTCACCAGTTATTTTAATATAAAGAAAAAAAATTTGATTACTAAGGTAGATAATTCACTGTAACGTAACATTTTTTTTTTTTTTTTCAATACAACAATTAACATAAAAGGGGAGATAAGCCTCTATGACCTCATCAATTTCTACCAATCTCGTTCTAATACCTATGAAGGAATATATATATATGTGCTCTTTCTTGTGTATATATTTTTGTCATTAAGAAAATATTTGATTTCAGTTGAATTTTTTCCTTTATGCTTTAATAAAAAATGGTTAATTTTATCCTTGTTAAATAAGATTAATTTTCTATAAATTACATTCTACAGGTTCAGCTTTTATTAGAAAAATAACTTTTTTTTTCTTTTTCCTTGAAAATGAATCTCACTGAAGGATACTTTTCATGGTGATTTTTACCTAAATGTGTTATAAAATTACTAAAAAAAAAAAAATTGCTTACTGTCATCAATGACAAATTATCTTCTATGTGCTGTGTCCCTTCAGGACATTTGTGATCATAGCTTTCCACAATTTTCTGTCCTTTATAGTCCTTAATGAATTTTGTCTTTGTTCTCTCTCAAACCTTATTCCGCCATCCATTTACTCGCTAAGTAGGTTATATATTGTTTTTCTTTGTCCCTCTTACCTTCAATATCTCCTGAGTATCAAATTTTTCAAGCCCTCTTTACTCATTATGTGTCAAAGAAACTTCAACTATCTCTTCCTGATGTTAAATATGTGTACTTCTTGTTTCCATTTTTCTCTAAAACCTGTTGCTCACATGTTCAGTTCATAGTATTCTCAGCATCCTTTTGTAGAACCACGTTTCTGTTGCTTCAAGTCTCTTCTTCATCTGTGATGAGATTGTCCAGTATTAATTGCCATACAGGAAAACTGATATTATGCAACTATTCAGTACTCTTTTCTTTATTTCTTACAAAATTTTTCTGTTTCTTAATACTTTGATTAGCTTTTAGAAGGCATCTTTCACTGTTCCAATATGCCTTTGGATTTCACTGTTGCACTTTCCGTCCTCTGTTAAAACACTTCCCTGATATTTAAATCGATGTACTTGTTTGATTTTGGTATCTCCAATTTGTAATTTGTGTGTTTGGCTGTTCCTTTTGCTAACAACCATGTATTCTGTTTTCTTATAATTGAGGTTTAGTCTTTTCTTCTTGCTTTCCTTCACTACATTCTATAGGAGTCCTTGAAGTTTGCTTTTTGTGTCTATCTTCATATCTTATGTTGAGATTGTAGATGCCATGAATGAATCCTGATAAGACTTCTAATTCTCTCCGAATTGGCACAACTGTGTAGGTTGACTAAGTCCTGTGAGAAAATATATCCTTGTCTTACACCCGTTTCTATTTTTATATATTTACTACTTTTGAATAATTTATCATTATAAATTATTGATTTTACTGTAGATAAATAGTTTATAAGAATTTTGAAATTGATATTTTGGATAGATGAGTCTGTCACAAAGTTCATATTTAAATGAAATTTTTCTTTTACCATCAAAAATCATTTCTGATAGACTTGATCTAAATTTACATAATTTTCACTGTGATTTCATGGTTCACTTAACTCTAGTTCATTAACTGATGTACATTAAGCAGTAACGATCACACTGCATATAGTTTAGTTTTCTCACCTAGAGTTAACTAGTCACTTGTCAGAAAATATTGTATTTCAAAGTTGTCTTTCAAGAATTTGAGAACTAGTTGTCTTCTATATACAAAAATTGTGTATTTAATCAGGAAAAAAAAAGGCCCAGTATTCACTTTACTTCAGGCATTAAGTGATTTCTGCTGGTTGAGGTCTTGCTGTATTGTGTATCTGGTTCTTAATCTCTTGTCGCAATAATCTCATTTTATCATGGCTATTTTTTGTATCTATCTTATTTAAAAATCTTTTAACAATCTAAAAAAAAATATTACTATCAAAAAGCATCTAAAAATAAATGTTATTTAAACATTTATTTTAATTGCAATTATGTATCAATTTTTCTTGTAGGTACATTGAAACTGGATGTTGTACTTTGAAGCTAATATTGAAAACATTTGGGCATTTATTAAAATCAAGTATTTCTCCTCCAGGAGGAATTGGTGTTGACATATCTGCAGAAGAAAGGCAAGTATTTTTATGAGCACATTTTAAAAGAAATTTCAATATCAATTCTGTAGTCGTGGAGTAAAACCAGTTTTATATTTTATCTTTTAATGTTTGTCTGTATATTATCTTATTATGCAAGTCAATATTTTCAGACAAAAATGACGCAATTTTTAGTGTATACCATGTGAATGTTGGCTTTAATAGCTACTTTATTAGAAATATTTACAAACTACTTATTTGGTAGTGTGAGATTTCCATTATACAACTTGCTGGTTATTTATTATATCATAAATAAGATATAATACGTTTTGTAATTTCAGATATATAAAGATTACCATGGGTTATAAGTGCTAATGTAAAAAAAGAAATGAGATATTGTAAAGTTGAGTAATTGGAACACAGTGTTGTAAAGAGCAAAAAATTGAGCAGAGTTTATAGAACAGTCAAAAAAAAAGCTGAAACCCTTGTTTTTAAGACTGTTGCAAATAGAAATTTAAGGGAAAATTTAAACAGTAATAAGAAACCAGTATTAATGCAGTCTATTATAAACACTAATTTCATGTCTTAGCCAAACTATGATCTTGAAGTAAATATCACAAAAAGTAAGTTGTGTTTAGAAGTACATGAAAAGTGATTTCTCAACAATAATTTTTAGTAATGGCTAAACTAAAGGTTAGACCTTCCTGGACATAACTTAGACATTATGCATTAAGATGTTATGTAGGAAATACTGTGTAATATTTTGCAGTTAGTATTAAAGGAAGTATAATTTATAAGTTCTTTTAAAGTTCTTGATGGTGTCAAAGATAAATGTAAAGAATTACTGTAAGTATCTTGGCAAAATATTTTTTTTGAGTGGTACAGATTTCAATCGAGAAACTTTTTAAGCTTAGGAGTATATTCATACAAAGCAATTCTTCACATTCTGTACAGTTGTCTATTGCTCACCTTGCCAGAAAAAGGTTTCAATGACACCAAATTAATAGAATGGCACTCCAGTTTCTCTAAATGTTAATTCAATAGAAAACTTGTGGTCCATTTCTTAAATAAGATATATATATGAAAATAGAAAACAATATTCAAGTAAAGCTGTCTGGCAAGCCATAAGACTTGATAAAACTTAACATTAAAGATTGTTGAAGATCATAGAATGTGAAAGAGCCCATATTAATAGGTAAAAATAATTTAATCAGCCATATGGTATATTGCATTAATCAAATACCTATTTCTATGGTTGAAAGCTTTTGGATTTATTTATAAATAAAAATTAATGTTGCACTTTGTTTGCCTAGTAAAACCTGTTATATCCATCCTTCTGAGAAATATTGATAAATAAGGTGACTCATAATCTGACACAGTGAATGTACTTGATCTGATGTCAGAATAAAAAACATAACTTCCTTGAATTATCAAGTCTATTGACTTTTGGTTTCCTTACTGATCATAAATCCTGTGTAAACATGATGAAAAAATCTAGAATATTTTTTAGTTTTGAATGTAAATTGCTATTATGACTGATGAAAAGTAGTAACTCTATTACTGAGAGTTAGTATATATCTGTTCAGTCTGTAGCTTTTAGAAGTGATAAAGAAAAGAATTATATTTGATACTGAAATAGATATGGAGTAAATTAAAATACTTTTATATTAATGAGTAATTTAAAGTGTTTCTTACAGACGTTTTTTTTTTCCGTTCGCAGAATGTACAAGTGCAAAGTAATCAACAAACATCTGGGCCAGATCAAGCAGACAATAGAGAATCTACAGAAAGAATCAGGAAAAATAGACGATGGTTTGAAGGAAGTTTTTATTTTAATGGAAACCTTGTGAAGAGTGGGTGGGGAAATAAAGCGTTGCTCAAAGTAGCAACAGTCAGCCAATAATTCAAAACCATCACCATTGCCATGACCTCACATTTTGGGAGTTTTCACTGCTTCTCCCTTCATGCCTGACTTTCCCACTCTTCCCACAGAAGAACATGGCAGCACTGAGCCAGAACATCTACTGGATAGAAAAATTTTTATCATCTAAAATATACTGTGATGTCTTCTGGCAAGAAAATAATTTTTTCCTCTTGCATTCCATTTGCTGTTGGATGTATTGTGTAGGGGTGGGGGGTGGGCAAAAAATGGACATTCAACATCTTGGTGAATGCAATGCCAGACAGCCAGCACTTTTTTTTAAAAATCAAGAATATAAACACAACAATTAAAAATTCCTTACTCAGGAAACTCAGTTTTTTTTTTTTTTTTTCTCATTGTGTTTTTTTTTTTTTTTTTTTTTTTTTCTTTCATTTTGTTTGTTTATTTTTTCTCCCCCCACCCTCTCTTTTTGCATTTGTCTGCTGCAATGACCAAATCCTGTCTGTGATAAAATGTTATTCTGCAGCCACTGGGAGGGTTACGGATAAAAGCGAAAAACAAAACTATAGGTGCGTCCTTCTCTGACCATACAAATACTGTAGGGCTAAAATGGGTGCTAATGGATGATGACTTTTTTGTTTGTTTTTTTTATCTATATAACCACAGACTCATGATGATCATTGGATATTTTTTTCTCCTCTGTGCTTTACAAACCATCAAAAAACCTGCTACAAAAAAAAAGTCAAAAATACAAAATTGAAAATAACTTTCATCAAAATCTGAAGGAATTTGTTCTTCTCGAGCTGTGCCTAAAGCATTTGCTGACATCAGAATAGTTGTTTGGTTAAGTTAAGCAGATTGAGAGGTTTCTTGTTATTGTGTCTTTCTCCTGCCCATGTTTATTTTATTTTTTATTTTTTTTTTCCTTAAAGCCTTTGGTCAGCAGTTGATGGTGATGGACTCAGCATCAGGCATTTGGTTTCACTCCACACACATGTGCTTGATGCAATCCTTTTATTCTTATAAATCGTGTGGCCACGACTTTCTGATTTGGACTAACAACACTTGACAGATGTAAATAGAATTATTTCAAATTAAAAGACAACATCATCAAATAACTCATCTTTTTCCTTTTCTTTCTTGCTCTCTTATTTTTATCTGTTCTCTAATTCTTAATCTCTGTTTTCAGTTTCTCTCTTCATTTTATATTTTTATTTCGTCTTTGCCCACCTACAGATTTTACTACATCAAAAATATGCATCTGGGTCTATGATTAAATCTTATATTGCAGAAAGTGTTTTTTGTGTGTGCGTGCGTTTTTTTGGGGGGGGGTGCAGTGAGTGAAAATGATCAGAAATTGTTGCAAAGGACGGATTGAATTTAATGTTTTTGTTTCTAACAGATTCTTTGTAAATTAAGTTTGTGTTTTTTTTTTTTCTCGCCACCAAAACCAGTTCAATTAGAAGTCATTTAAACATTCTTCCAAGCATTTTATTTTCAACAAAATTTCTATTTTTATTTTAATCTTTTTTTTAAAGTTATTTTTTAATCTCTTAATAATAAACTGACAAGCATGCAATTCTAAGCTTAAGGATATTAAGATGTTTTATTTTCATATATATTGTTTCAAGTTTTTATTGTCATCTTCTAAAAAAAAGTTGCTGATGACAACTCTACAGTTCAGCTGCCTGTCTAAATAAGTCAACCTTTCCTAACAGAAAATTTCTTGATTTGTTTTTAAGAATTTAATTTTTTTTTTTTATTTGTCCAACTGAAACAATATATTTACAACACTCTTTCATTTAAAGAGGAAAATAGAGAGGACACAATCTTCAAGCTTTTTCAGTTGGTACAATTGTCTACGCAGTTACGTTATAGATTTTTTTTTCTCATCTCAAATTTGTCAGTAAGCTTGGAATCAGAATTCTGAATGTCTGTATTTGTCTGATGGTATTAAATCCTTGAAAGGAAAGCCATGTAGGTATTTAAGGAAATTAAAAATCTGATGCACTGGCAAAGGGAGCAACCAAAATGACAATAACAAACATTAGACTTCCATATACAGATTACAAAAATAAGATCACATGATACCTTAAAATGGCAAACAATTTTGGATAGGTTTCCAAACAGCAAACTGTATGAACATCAGTCAGATTGGAAAATAGCGAACCATTACCTGATTGAAGACGGGATAGTGCTAAGCAAAGTCTGAATTGGACACACACTCAAAGCAGAAACTGCACTTCAGTGCATCTCTTGTGATCAATTGCTCACTGTTAAGCACATCCTAATAGACTGCAAAGAAAACATGCGACAAATATTGATGTACAAAACCTTACCATGGTCCTGCTTCTCAAATAATAGGCTACCTAAAAGAAATAAACCATTTCAAACACTTATAGAAGAAAGCCCAAAATACAACTACATAACCCTAAAATGCCTAAACATAAAAAGGAAATGTTTTCCCAAACTACACTATACTTCCAAATGTCAGAATTCTACTAAAAATCTTGCACAACTGTTCCACAAAATACTCTATTTGGCATGACATGACCTACAAAAATGCAATCCAATCTGGAGTGAGGAAAGTGTTTGTTGGAGTTCAAAACTAGTGACTATACCTCAACAGAATGTTCCCCATTGGACCCTGTTTATTGCATCTTGATACTGGCCAGGTCCTGGGAAATGCTCAGCCAGCACTCTTTTGATTGGCTTCTGTGATTTCATACATGCTTCTTCAGGTCTAAATCGAAGATGACCTTCGCAGCATAACTTTATGCTCAGACCATTTCACATTTTGCTTGGTGATCAGTGCCAAAGCAAAGGATCTTTTTGTTTCATTGGCATAGTTACAGTTTGTAAAGAATGACACTATTATTTTACACCAAGGTTTTGCAAGTATTGCATGTCAAATACATCAGTTCCTCTGTTGTCTCATTGACTAGGTTTCATTCCAGATAAAAGGACAAGTTATATATGCACATCTTTATTTTCACAGATATGTTCATTCTACAATATGGGGTATCACTTAATTCTTTTATGGTTGCACAGATTGCAGCATCCAGACAGGATATTTCATGATTAACAGTGCCATTTGCTAAGATGAAGAAACCAAGGTATGTAAAATTTTGAAGAAGCTCCACAGGTTCACTATCAATAGGCAAGAGAGAAGGATTATGTTGCCCAACAATATTGACTTTAATTTTGTGTAGGGCCCACTTTAGCTGTTATTTTGTTAATTGTTTTAAGGATGAGTTATCAACATAATCAAGATGTGTAAGTTATCTCTAGTTATGATAGCCCAGCTTTAGTCCAACTTGATTCTCTTCCTAGTTTATGGGACAATGATATAGTTGAAAATATGCATCCCTGAAATACAAAATGGAGAACCAATTAGTATCTTAGGGAAAGCAATTACAGTTCTGTTGATGTTTGTGTACATCAGCTTATACAGTCAAATTAGTTTTGGTGACAATCCAGATACCAGGAGGCAGCAGTTAAAAGGAGTTGTTAATCAGTGCTGTCTTGAAGGCAATGTTGAAAGCTAAATTTTATTGATTGAGATGGAAACTGCCTGTGAGGAAATAGGTAACTAGAAACAAAATGTTGACGAGCAAGGATGATGCTGTGAAAGTCCTTCCCACTATTCTGGCTTTCAATTTATCATTTGATTAGTGACTGACCAAAATAATAGTTGGACTCAACAGATTCTGAGGAGAGTTAGAATTATTAAAATTGTAGGACTTCTTCTAAAATGCTGCTAGGAAAACTTTTTATTTTTCTTTATTTTTAATAAACTTTTGTGTGGGGTGGGGGGATAAAATTCTAAGATTTTTTTTTTTTTTTAGTTGATGGAAAGGAAAAATCATAAATTCCCTTCTCTTCATAGACAAAAAAAAACTGTTTACTGAAAATTAGAGGCTCAGAATTTTAGTAAGTTTTCTAATTTGTAATTATAGTAAGTAAATATCACATTTAAACTTTATACATGTTTTATTAGCTTTCTGGTAAGAATCATAGTAGTTAAAAAATACACATTTTAACAAAGGGAAGGAGCTTTTGTTATAGAGAAATAAGGAACATGAAACTAGTAAAAGGCTTGTATTCCAAATGTTGGTTGTCTTGATTTTTTTTAAAACAAAAAAAAATAGTGCCTCAAGAATTTGTTTTTCCATTGTCGTCATCCGTGTACCTTCTGGTTGAGAAAAACTTCTAATGTCTTTCTGACTTGGTTTTAATATGCTGGCAGAATTTAATTTGTATGAAGTCAGTAGGGGCTCTTATTTTTCTTTAACTACAATTGTCGCCTCCAATTATTATTTATGATAACAACAACAATAATAAATACAAAAGCTTTTGTATTTATCTTTCTCTGTTCTTGAACAAAAAATAAATAAAATCGTTGAAATCTTTCAAATATCAAATCTGCCTTAATATTTATCAGATAGCTCCTGAGAATTTTTACTTGACGGGTGTTGATATATAACTGCCGTTACATATCTTGTTTAGCTGGACAGACAGCTATTTGATTTATTCAAACTGTTGTCTGGTTTCAAATTGTTCATTAGTCTTGCATTGTGAATCATAATTGGTAATACTCTCTGAATTTACTACCTTAAAAAAAAAAAAAAACTTTTTTAAGGTCTTCCTGGACCTGTTGAAAACTTTTCAGTGCCCACGTTCGTGTAGACATTGACTAAGCTTAGCCTTTTCTAGTACAAAGTTGGTGCTCTAATCTGCAGTAATGACCAAACTTAGAAGCAAAGGCTTGTGAATTGACCTGTTGATGTGGAGACAAGAAATTTGATTCTTACAAGGTGTCTGGTCACCAGATTCAGAAATTGTTTGTAATACAAAATAGTATTTACAGAATTTAAAATTTTTTTTTTTTTTTGAATGTTAGCCTATCTTCAAATAGTGAATTTAGCAATCATAAAATAAGAACTATTGTAGATTAAGGTATGACTT